TGTTCGACAATTCCACATGCCAATATTGGCATCGACAATTTCTTACAGCTCAATACTCACCAAGGTAAGCACTAAGGCAGGCCTAAAAGTTCTGTTGTAGATTTAATATATGTTCATATGTATGTTCTTGTGAACGTACAATTGCGTGGGTCCAAAAAAATGCTTTTTATTTCTTATTTTTATTGCTAAATGCAAAAATATGGATATTAGCTTAGAAGTATCTTAGACTCGCCCAAGTCGATCGCAAATTTGATTTTCTACAAAAAAAGGTTCGGATACTAAATTATGTAGAACTAATACTTTCGAAGACAACTGAAACTTTAGTAAAAAAATATATTTACTTATTATTAATTAATCTTAAGAAAATAAATTCCTCAAAGTCATTTTATTTGAAAAAAACACACACATAACGTTTTTTATAAAATTTTTGATCAAATCTAGTTTCAAGTCTTTATGCAAACTTTTAATATGTATATTGGAAAAAATTTTAAATGTACAGCTGATTAATTACCGGCCATCTGAGTCAACAATCAGCCGTTTGATGAAGAAGTTCGAAGAAACTGGGCCGGTGTTAAACGTCTCCAAACCCGTATGTCTTCGTACTGGTCGTTCGGTCGAAGATATTGCTGCTGTGGAACAAAGAGTGGACCACGCCGCGACAGTCTCAATTCGTTATTGTGCACAGCAATTGAACCCTTCCGACAGCACCGTTCAGCGGATTTTAACAAAATACCTCTGTTTACATGCTTACAAAATTCAATTGACGTCTAGTCACAAATCGGATGCTTGAACAACAAGCAGTTAATGCGGATTTTGCAAAAAATTATCATGAGCCTTTTCCACAAAACGGATACGTTATGTAACAGGCAATACTGCCCCATTTCTGGTACTGAAAATCCACACATCATTCAAGAAAAAACGAATCACTGTTTGTTGAGGTGAGTCATCGGACCGTAGTTCTTCGAAAATGATACCGATAACGAGTTACCGTAAACGACGTACCGTAAACCAAAGTTACACATGTTGGCAAGTGGCGCTTGGTACGTAGGAAATTTAATTATACTGTTCGAATAAGCTTTTCTAACATATGGTTAAAGCATTTGCAGAGTTAAGAGTCTCTTCGTCTGAAACCTCAGACAGCTCGAAGAGGCCGTTCCCTATCCTGACTCTATTGTTGGAATTACTCAACACCATTTTTCAAAGCCGTATTAGCCAACTGCTTTTCGAACTGTTGACAGCCTCTCTTACACCGTCAAATCGCTGGTGTGTATCAAATTGTTTTTTAGAGCCCATAGTGCGGTAGTACAGTGGCGACAGTTCTCAACTATCGATGAGTTTTAAAGTCCATCGATGTCTGTTCTTAGCGAAACTTTGCAATATCTCTTCATAACATCTCTGTACAACTTCATGGCTCATGGCTGAAGGCAATCTCAGGTAAAAGTGACCATAACACGATTTTCGCAAAAAACTCTTTTTTTTTTTGTTACCTTCGACCTCTTGTTACATCTCTCGCGGCACTTGGGTCGAGTGGCTTCCACCTATTTTTAGGTTCTTGTTTAAGTTTTGCATTTTTACTGTCTTTATTACTGCAGTTGTGAAAAAAAGTAGACTTTTGTTTTATGTGATTTGTTGTCGGAAAGTATTTTCATTTTACACTTTATACTCACCTTTACTCTGGTGTTTGTGAGCTGCCTTTATATTATATTGCTCGTTAAAAATAAATTCAGATTTTCTGTCCCTATTCAAGTGCATTGAATTCTTAATTCAGATAAACCGATAAATTAATAAGTTTTATTTATTATTATGCATCTCAAATGACCACTCATTTTCCGAACACAGATATGTACATAAATTTCAAGATATATATTTTTTTGAACCTCCATCTTTACTCGCTTATGGAAATAGGAGACGAACCGACTGGAAATACACCAGTTTCGGTCACATCAACATTCTATCAGCTACCGCGATACATTTAGGTCCCTAAATTGCACAGCACAACCGCTGGAGCTTGAAAACGAGTTATACACTCCTATCCCATAGAAGAAAGACTGGAACGATGATTTGGTATCGGGTCACCAAGATAACTCCACCGTCATCTATACGAATGGCTCTTAACTAAATCCAAGAGTAGGGCGGAGTGGGATACACTCATGAAATCTTTTCTTAACCTGCCTTCAGTAACTATATACTCCGATAGCTAATCAGCTATAAGGTGACTAGATCGTTGTGGAACCTCGTCAATAACTGCGATGATATGTAGGAAAGTCCTTAACGATTTAACTTCAAAGTATACTACCCAAATTATGAGGGTGCCAGTCCACAGAAACATTTGAGGTAACTGTGCAGCGGACGAGTTTCCGAGAAAACGAACTACCCTGCGTGATGTCAACTCTTCTGATGCGCTGGGAATATCGCTGTCTACCTGCAAGGCATGGCACAAGTCATACTTCGTCGAGAAGGCAAATAAAATATGGTCGGAAGAACTCGCTTGTTAGCCGTCTTGATGGCCCAGCCTCAATAAGAAAATATGCGATGCACTCATTTGGTTAGAACACCCTCTACCAAGGCTGATGAATGATATTATACTAGCAGAATGGTCTATGACCTCTGCCGAAGTTGCCACAACGTGCACAAAATCGAGAGTGTGAATCTAAGACATACATTTCACCACCACCTCTTTGTCTCTCTGCGGCAGGCATTCATGAATTCTCGCGCTTTCTAAAAATAACCAACTGGTTATACTTCTAGGTTAACGGACGGCTTTGAATTCGAGCTCTCACTTGGTATCACAATGGGCTCACCAGGCAGTAATAGAAAAAATGTAATGTCGAAACGAATCTGGGTCCTCTTGGACGGTAGCCTACGACGCGCCTACGACGGTCACCAATTCGACAAGTTTTCATAGGAACGGTATGTACTTGTCAGTGGAAGTCTCTTGAAGAGAAAAATATAGATTTTCAAGTATTCTATACCATATCTGCGAGAACTTGTTTTTCCCCCACATAAAATACATGGAAAACTTTGAGAACTTTCGAAATAAAAAACAGGGGTAAATTTTTTTGCACCAAAATTCCGACTTTACTTTTTCACATGCATTTCTGGACCACCTAATGTACATACATGTGTAAGTGCTTTCCAATAAACTGTTGACAAGAAAGAAAAAGAAACAAAAAGAGAATATCTTTTGAGTTTTAAAATCGCAATTTATTTATATAACTAAAAATGTGAAAAAATTTTTTTTACATACAATATTACATATAAAATATTCTAATTTTTGCTTTACATATACATATTTTGTTTTTAAATACATATGTTCCATTGTAAATGCATAGCACTGAAAAACTTAAAACTTATTCAAACTTACAATATAAGTAAATAAATAAATAAAACAAATAATTTTTTAAATTAAATTTGCGCAGAAAACTCGCAAAAGGAAATGGAATAGAAATAAGGATTAAAGTCGAAATGAAATTGATGGCATATTAAAATGATAGGCAATAAGAAGAGCAACTAATATAAACGTGTATAAGTATGTGTGTATGTATGTATGTATGTGTGTGTACACGTTAGTATGCTTTAATACGGAAGTACATGTACAATGGGGAAAATAATGCAATACTACTGATAATTGAAATATAACTGTAAACAATATGAATAAGAACAGCTCTCTACTGAAGATGAGCGGAATAGCTTTGAAGGCAATAAAAACGCCCGGAGAAGAGTTCAAAAGAGTTCATAAGTGTTTAATGGGTATGGCAGGGAATCGTAGGTAAAGAAGGAAAAAGGGGGAGAAGCAGACAACTATATTAGCGACGACTATGAAAATCGAAAGAAAGATGTTGATTCGTTAAAACATTGCTTTTTTTTTATCAAGACTAATAAATAACAGTAGTTCATTTTGCAAGTGAGCAACAAGGAAATTGGTTTTAGGAAAAACTTAGATAGTAAAAAGAGATACATATGTACATACATATGTATATGCATTTGGATGTGTATTAGACTGTGTCGTGGAAAAACGTTTGTAATTTGACCAGCCAGTTTGAAATCTTACTTAGAGAGAATTTTAGCTTCATAAAGGAATGCCTGCTAAAAACGCCTAAAAACGGCCAAAATCGTGTTTTGCTCATAACTGTGTTATATACTTATATGTATGTACATATGTGGCATACATATACATGTACATCGCAGAAAAGATACATTTACATATATATGTACTGCTTTAATATTCTATTCACCTACATAAATTAGCTCCTTCGGCCAGGAAACTCAATTATTTTAATTTCTACTCAACTAAATTCAATTTTAGTTATCATGAAATTAAAAATTTTTTTTAAATGCGGCTGTTTTCCATGCTCTTAAAGAGACGTATGGCCAATCTTCGTGACGCCAAATCTTCTAAAAATAAGCTCTCAAATTACTAGAATAACAAACTTTTTTTTTTCTTTTGTATCAGGACCGACCCGGTCTAATTTGTATACATACATATGTATACACACACATAGGGGTTTTGGCAAAATCGTATTAGTACCGTGAAGTGTGTAAAGGCGCCAAAGGCAAATTGAGGCGGCTAGCAGAAATCAGTAGCAGAAATTCTAATTACAAAATGCTACGCAAGAAATTTTCTTTGCAGCAACACTTGTGGTTGATTTGGTCGGTATTATTTGTATTGTTGCTGTAGTGCATGTTGCAGTTGTGCGCCGGTTAAGGCTGCGCTTCATCTATGAGATGACTTACGGTCGGTCACTGCATTGTGGCAAAAATGCAATATATACTATATATATTCTGCATCTTTTTATGGATAGATATATGCAGCATATTGCACAGCGTGTATAATACAGGCAAACGTTATTGTTGTTGCTGTTGTTGTTTATATTTACTAATGACGTTTCATGAAGTTCAACTATACATTCTGTGTGCCTACTGTTTATGACTTTTGCACTTGTTGCTGCTGCTGCTGCTGCTGTGTTGTTGTTGTTGTTGTGTTGTTGTTGGTGTTGCTGTTGTTGCAAAGATAACGGTTGCTGCTGCTGTTGTAGCTGTTTCTTTTGCTGCTGCTCTTGCTGTTGCTTCTGCTGCGCATATGCACCTGTTGTCTGTCGATTGCTATAGCCGCGATAGGCAAGCTCATGCGCTTCATTAAGAGAGCGTCTATCATAGCCGCCGCTACCACCGCCCCCCGAAGACCAGCCACCGCCGCCGCCACCCGATGACCAACCCGAGCTACCACCTGATCCACCACGACCGGACATCAGCTTCTTCAGACCCATTATGCCCGCCAACAGCAGGGCAATCTTCGAGACAATCAGCGCTTTGCCTGCCATCATGTAGAGCATACCCATGGCAACGGGTATCATGCCAACCATTTTCATAGCCATGCCCATCATCATCATGCTCATCATTTTCTTCATTTTGCCGCGACCTATGCGGGAGTGAAAGGAGAGAAAATGGAAAATTGTTTAGAGTAATTGTATATCGGTTATTTAAGTGATAGGTTAGGAAAGTGAAAGCTCTGCTAAAATTGGTAAATTGTTATCAAAAGTCTCAATATGCTTTTAATGCAAAAATAAAAAGTTTTTTTTTTCTGATTTTAACCTGATACTTGCAGACTTGTCGCTCACTTTTCTGCGAATTATTTTTTGTATTCGTTAATTTTGTTTGATTTGATTAATCGCAATTGACATAAGTTGCAACAGCTGCAATCAGTGAGCCAGCATGGAAGTGGCGCATGTGCCAAGGCGATCTCGCTTACACTTATACGCCGATGGCCACTTGCTACTTGCATTTAGTTGCGCATTTTACATTGTCACGGCTAACTTGTCTAGCCAAAATTGGATAGTGTCAGTGTACAAATAGCTACGCTTGATCTAAATGTGTAAAAACCTCATAACTAGCCAGTTATCATGCAATTTAAATGGATATTTGAAATTGCATTTTCATATTCAATTCAATGTGTCTTTTTTCGCTTTCCTGCTTCATGTATGATGTATACTAGGGTGATCAAAAATAATTAACCTAACGAATTTATGGCCTCAAAAGGACCTATTTACTGAGAAGAAAATTCACCCATGAATGACTTTTTTTTTTTGCACAGAAACAAAAAGAGTAGGACATCTTTCTACTGAGATCCCATAAGTCTAAATTAGAATAGTTTTGGCAAAGTAAAAAAAGAACAGCATCAAAAATTTAATTATTACTATTCCGTTGAAAATATTTTTAAGTATTTTTATGCACATTTTTTAAGCATATTTTTTTAATCTGAGGGAATTTTTTTCAAATGGCCCTGAGATAAACTATTTTTATTTATAAAAAAACTGCATTTTTGGAGGTATTTTCAAATCGGTCCAGCCCACGTAAATCTTAATATTTTCCCGAAATATTTCGGCGGACGTCTTCAAATATAATACATTTTGTAATCTTGCCGAAAAAACCGCAACTCTTCTTGGTGATGCAGTCTAATATACATATACACATATATATGAATATATAGTATGTATTGATATCCATTTCAGAAACATGACATGCCTTAAGCCTTATTAGCTTTTATTTGCCACTCACACCTTGGCTCAATGCACCCGCATTCGTCAACGTTTGTCAATGGTAATTACATTTCTAACGATTTCTCTGTTTGTCCACTTGGAAATGATTTATATGTCATGAAATAAATAATATTGTTTTTAAATAAAAATTTCATATTTTTCAAATTAACTTATGTTGACTGATAACTAATGCTGAATTTCCACTAGGCATTGAAATGATAAAATATGTATGCCATTTAAAAAAATGCCATGTGGAAATGAACTTAAGGACAATTTTTTAACGTAATGACACGATTATTTTTTAATACCTAACTTTGCCATTTAATGCCTAGTGGAAATCCAGCATAAGTATTAGGAAAAAACAAAGTTGTGTGTCGGTTAAGGATGGGCATTTTTCAGATTTATATCGCAGGCCTTGCTATCTACCATTAAATAAAATTCACGTGGCTTTAACAGCCGTTTATACACCCGAGCCCACTTGTGCACATTGTTATTAAATTTAGACGACCAGGGCCTTATGTATTTATGAAAGATCATGATTTGACGTGAAAGAATCCAAAAGTTAAAAGGATATTCGGTGCTTCGATATTCGAATTTTAGCTCCAAAATGGCGAATTTTTGAAAGCGAACTTTGTGTTGCTAAAATTCGGATAAAATCGAATTTTTCTAAAAAAAATCGAATTTCATCTTTATTTCCAAAAAATCAACTCTTCAATTTTCTTCTTTCTGAGTAAATTTGCGACCACTGTGTGTGGCACTCCATTTGTCTTAGAGATGCAAGTAAAAAAAATACATGTTTTCCGATCTGTTGCATCGGGACAAAAAATCTGTACCAAGAAGGAACTGAATTCCAAACTTAAAAAAATTTTTGTAAAAAAATAGTTTTTTTGTTAATTTTTTATTTTAAATGTTTAGAGACTTTTACGTTGGTGGCATGAAACTTTTGCTTGAGAAGACCCCTAGTAAAATTCAATCCTCTAACGACCTTCCAAATTTGCTTTTTGCCTTTTGACCCTTTAGGCGGGAGCTAATGGGTTGAATTGTTCTACGGAAATATTTCACATGAAATTTTATTATATATGTCTTAACCTTTAATTTCGCTCAGATATTTATTTTAACTATTTTTTCGACTTTATTGAAAACTACTTAGGCCGAGACATGAAAACTTTAGTAGGCCATGAAATAAAAATACGAGCTAACTTTTGCAATTCCACCGAGTGTTTTATTACTGGATGGGTATACTTTCAGAAAATGTTAACAAAGTCCGGGATGGTTTCGGCTGTCCCACAGTGTAATTTCAGTTTAACTTTTTAGACAGGTGGCCACTCTCTTCAAGCACCTCAAAAATATTTTAATTGTTGCATAGTATTTTAAGCACAACACTTCTTTAACTAAATTCGACTTTTCAAACAGGTGGCACCTCTCCTAAATGTAATTAAAAAATAAAGTTTACTCAAAACCATTTCGATTGGTACCCATTTTGGGGTAATTTATTTAACTTACTAAATAATTTGATTTCGATTTTCTTACATATAGCACAAAACTAAAACCATATTACACATATACAGGGCAAGCATTTTCATTTGACACCTACCTCTTTTTGAAAATCGAACGAACGATACAGATTTTATGAGTTGGTGTTAAATATTTAACGCAGACATCTGCGAAAGCGATTATTTCAATTTGATTTTCTAACTTGTGGCAACCCTTTTCATAGAACTAAAACTATGTTGTAGACCCAAAGAACAAGCCTTTAATTTGACACCCCATTTTTTTAAATTGAACGAACGATACAGATTTTATGTCTTGGTGTTAAATATTTAATGCAAACATCTCCGAACTCGATTAAAAAGTTTAAATTAAAAAAAAATTTTGGAAAATTCGAAAAAATTCTATTTATTTGGTGTGGCGCACGGACGCGGGCGGCCGCGAAGCTAAGCAAATTTAATGTTTGAAAGAGCAGTAATGTCAATGGATTTTATTTCGCTTTTGAAAACGTAATAACGTCAATTGACTTTATTTCGAACCAAGGTGGGAAAAAAGTCAATTGACCTTATCTCCGTTGATCTTGTTACCTGTCACCACGGATGGTATTGAAAATGAATAAATCGGGCAATAACCACGCCTACTTCCCATATAACGGCAGTTTCCAGAAATACGAAAACTGCGATATTTTAGTAACTACTAAGCGAAAGATAAGAATATTATAAATTTTTGGAGAATGGGCGTAGAACCGCCCACTTATGACCCCATGTGTATATCTCGGTAATCGCTTCACCAATTTCTCCCAAAACTTGACACGGCTGTTGGGCCTTGATACAACATACCAAACGGGGGAAAATTTGTAAAATCGGACAATAACAACGCCAACATCCCTTATAAATAATGGTACTTTAGAGAAATACGAAATCTTCCATAAATCAGTAAACACTGAAGCTAATTTATTCAAAATTGATCTTTGCAATAATTCTTTAGCAAAAACGATACGATTAAGATGGGAAAATGGGCATGGCACCGCCCACTTATAACCACATATGTGTATATCGGTAGCCGCTCTATAATTTTTTACCAAACTGCGTACAATTATTACTTTTGATACATAAAAGCAAGGCCTTGAAAATTTCTGAAATTGGACTAAAGTTACGCCCAGTGAAGCAGTTAATCACGTAGGGGTGTTTCAGGGATCTATTTTGGGTCCTTTCAATTTATACATGTAGCGATTTCCGAATTGTTTAAAGTTTATGGTTATCGAAATGTATCGAGCTATCCTTTTTTTTTTGAGTTATCGCATCGTATCGCATTATTCAAATTGATCGATGCTAAATGAGTTGTCGAAATTTATAGACACAGAAACTTAGTTGTCGAAATTTACGGATAGTTATCGAGTTATAAAAATGTATGGGATTATCGAAATTTGTTAAGTTAGAGAAATTTATCAAGTTATCGATGTTTATTGAATTATCGTTATTTATAGACTTAACGAAATTTAACGAGCTATCATAATGCATCGTGTTCTTTCAACTTACGGAGTTATCGATAATTATTGATCTACTGAAATTGGTTTCAAAATATATCAATTTATCGAAATTTCAAGTTTATATGTGTTTATCGAGTTATCACTGCTTATCAGTTATAGAAATTTTTCGATAGCTTTCGAAAAATATGGAGCTGTCAAAATTACAAATCTGTAAGGGTATCCAAAGCAGGGGCGCACCCAGGAATATATTTTGGGAGGGGTTTATACTTCTGGAAATTCGCTTCAGATAAAATGATCATTAAAGTACATTTATGCAAGTTTTATGTACAGTATGTAATAAATAAATAAACTTTTTGAAGTTTCATAAATTGCATTTATTTACATAAAATTAGCAAAAAACTCAAACATTTGTAACCGACTTCGAAAAAGGGGTAGGTTATCAATTCGTCGGAATAGTATGCTAACGCATAACTTTGGACCACGTGAACCGATTTCAATAATTCTTTTTTTTTTATCGGAAAGGGTCTTCCCGTAATTTGTTATTTGTTAAATATAAAGTTCTATAAACACAAGATTGCAAAAGTAATAAAAAAAATTACAAAAAAAGAGTTTTAATGTTCATTTTCCTCGATATCTGGTTTCTGGTTTTCAAATGAGATGGTGATTTTTTACGATTGCCTAATTTTTTTAATATTTCGAATACCGAGAAAATTAAATGAGCTTGAATTTTTGTTATGTAGGCAATTTTGGTGGAACGAATTCGAAGTGGGCAAATTAAATCTTCGAATCCATGTTAAGGACATATCAGTTGTAAACTCTTTTAGGCTCAGTAAGTGAGTATGCATTGCATATTTTTAAGTTTCATTCGCAGTTAAACTTTTAAGAGCTCTCAAAAAAAACGAAAAA